CGAGCTCTCCTCTGCAGATTCCAGCACTGCCTGCTCCAGCCCAGCACGAGCCAGCTGAACTCAGCCTCACTGCAGCAGCCAGGGGTGAGCCTGGTCTGACAGCATTAATTAAATAGTTAAAAACTTGCCAGTTAAAAACTGGCAAGAACTGCTTTTCCCAATATGCTTGCAACAAGGACTTGCTCCTTCACTGATTAGCCGAGTCCATGCTGTAACCAGGTTAACCTCACCCAGTAACACATCCCTGCTGCTCCAGCACAGCCTCTCTCCATTCAGGTTACTCCACACAAAGCACAAAGCAACCTTGCTTTGGGCTCAGCCAGTCTTTGGCCAGGTGGCCTTTCCCAGGCCAGCACTGCCCTGTGAGCTGGGGAGCTCCCACCCAGCCCCAAGAGTCCAGTCCCAAACCTTTGGAGCTGTTCCTAACTGGTGTCAGTGTCAGGATTAGCCAGCGAGGCAGGAAAGGGGATGCTGTCCTAGAGCTGCCTCTTTAAAACAGACTCCAGTGGATTCAGCTTTGGAAGAGGAGATTCTCAAAGCAGTGCCAAAGGGCAGATTTTAAAGTAGCTTTAAATAAGACCTCCTAAGGCTCAGGAGCTTAAAGAACTTGAATAGCCCAGTTTCTTTTTTCCCTTTCTTTCTGCACCCCCTCCAATTTTTTTTAAACATTTTAAAATTTTTTTTTTTGAGAGGTTGATTGTCAGGCAGGTTTTCCCAATAATCCACAAGCCCAAGTAATCATGAGCACTTTAGCCCTGTGAAATAATATTTTCCTTACATGGGCTACTATAAAAACAAGTTCTGCACAGTAGGCAAATTTAAAATAACTTTTAATTAACATTTCAGACACAGAAGTCTGATCATGCAAATTCATCTGCGTCTCCTCTCTGTGCCTGATTGTTCCTGATTGAATATGATAAAAATAGACTTTGTATGAGTCAAGTGCAGGCATGGATTTCTTTCACTTCTCCTCCCCTCTGATTATGCATTTTCTTAGATAAAGTGGAAATCCTTGGATGGCTATTAACAGTATCATGGGTCAGACTGGAAAGGGCATCCTGCCTGAGAGGAGTTAAAGATTTCACTGGAATTAAAGGTGCTCCTCTGTGAGCAAGAAAGATGCTTCAATCTTACATAAAAACCTCACCTGAGACTATCCAGCATTGTTCTGTCTCAGCTGACTTTTAATCTCCGAAATACCAACTCTAATTTCACTGCACTCCCTGTATCAGAGGTGAGCATCTGGCCAGAGGCTACAGATCCATATTAATATGGAAAACCCACACCTCACTTGCACACAGGAGATAAATATTTGAAGGCAGACTGAGGAATTTCCCCACGATTAAGACATGTCAGAGGACATGATCCTGTTATAAGTAACAAGGACTCTGGATAATGGAGGGCACAGTGATACCTTTATCTTACAACTGTAAGAGAGCCAGTTTTCCAGTAAAAACTCCTACAAAGTCTCTGTAATACAGTCCAGTTAAAACGTCAATATTTTACAACAGCTGTTGACTTGACAGGTGCAAAATCCACCAAAAATTCCATAGAAATGAATGAATCACACAAAACTTGGGCATGGGGGATTAAAAACCCCCAGTGTTCCAGGGGATGCTCCACTCTTGTGATGTCTCTCAGGAGACACCTCCCCACTGTTGGCTGCTCTCTGATGCTTCCCAGCACAGGCACAGGTAGCACTGCAGATCAAGAAAACACTCACCATCACAAAACCAGAGCAGGAAAGGACCAGAGGAGGCACCTGGTCCTCGCTGAGCCTGGTGCCTTGCAGCTGGATGCAGGTAGTGCTCATGACTGCCAGGACTGGCCATGCTGATGGAGATTGGCCTTAGAGCTAACAGCAGACTTGAGCTCCAAATTGTTTCATTCAGAGACTCTCATTTCTTTCCCCCCATATAATTTCAGAACCCTTTGTTTGAGAAGGTGGGGCTCCTTCTTCCTCTGCCTTTCAGGTGGTGGCCCAAAGCATGTGAAACCCACTGACATCAGTTTTCATGGAAGCACCCAGGCATTCTGGAGTTTTATTGAGGTATCTTCATTTTGTACCTCTAAGGATCTTTGTAATTTTATTGCTCTTATACCACTTCTCATCCAGCACTACATTTTGATGCCAGCCCATCTGGTGTTTTGGATGTCCATTCACCAACACTCCTCTGCTGGATGTGTCATTTTGGCATTCCTGTGCCTGTGCCTGAACTTCCACGTGGTCCATGCACACATCCCTGCACTGTGCCCTGACTCTGGACCATCACAGTGGATGCTTTCCTCTCTCCCATCCCGTTGTTAAATTTTACACAGTAACATTAATTCCTGCTGCTGAATACATGAGCCGTGACACCAGCGTGGTGCAGTGTCCTCCTGAGCTACATTCCCATCCAGAAACGATTAAGTCTAAAACCACCCTGGCTGAATGACAGGTAATTTAAGAGCACTATAGGGTGGGCCTTGGTATCTGTCTGGGATGAATACAGCTCCTGAGTTCCTCTCATCTGGCAGCTTGCCAAGAGCAAGCCACAGTTTCAGTTATTCAGCCTATTTTTGTTTTTACAGCAGCATCTCAATACAACTATTTAAAATAAAAATATACAATATCTCTCCAAACAGTCCGCAGACTTAAAAGAGACCATGGGCTTTCTCACTCTCTGAGGAGCTATAGATTTCCTGGAAAGTGATTTTTGCTATTTTTTTTAGAGGTGTTAAAATGCAGATCAGACTATTTGAGGACAGTGAGGAGATTCAGCTCAGGCTTAAAGAAACTCATCAGCCTGATGCTGTTCTCTCTGCCAGTAAGGGAAAAAACATATTATACTTTCATACTCACATGAAATTCAGCCTGCCTATACCCAGGAGTATATCAAAGATATTTGTTTCCATAGAATCTGAAAGTATTATTGTAAAACACCCTTGGTTTTCAACTCTTTATAGAGAAGTCCCATGTGCCACTATGTAAAGCCCTTTGGCCCTTGCAAAACTCTTTCCTCGGTGATTGAAATTAGAGAAATTATGGTACACATCAACTCTGCTTAGAGGAAGAGCAGCATTTTCTAATCCATTTAACACAATTCTGTGGGTAATTCTCTTGATGGCTTTTATTCCTTCCAGGTTTAACACACACCGAGACATTAAATACTCCGAATTCACCTGAAAGAAAATTTCCATTATCCCACCTTCCATCAGCTTTGAGAAGTGCTTTGGAAAGCCATTAAAATACACCACATCTGCAGAGAATGCTGCCCTGTAGAAGGCACCAATGTGCTCGTGCAAGTGACCCTGACCCAGCTCACGGTGCTCCCCAAAACCTCACCCCCCAAGGTGCATCTGCACACAAGGACCCCACAACCTGGGTCATGTGAACAGCCTGTGCTGAAGTGACATGGCCGCTAGATGTCATTCCTTTTTCACTCAAATGGAGGGCAGAGAAGGGTTTACCTGGCAGAATGAAGCCCCACACACACACCAGGGAGCTGTGGCAGATCTACAGTGCGTGGTCCCATGGCCCCACAGACACAGACCTCCTTCCAGAGAGAATAATTCTGTCCCGGCAGGAGAAAGGACCACACAGCCCCAGACCTGTGCTGTATTTTCATGGCTCTTCCTAATTGTACCATACTGAAGGAGATCTTTAACCACAACTTTTCAACAGAGAGATTGGAGCATCCATGATGGACACAAAGCACACGGGTGCTGTTAGACCCCTGGAGCAGCACCACAGCCTGAGCATTGATGTCCAGACATGCAAACATGTTGGGTGCCCATTCTGCTGTGACTCAGACGGAATTCAGTGCCTTTCTTCTTCTTAGAATCTCAAGCTACTTTGAGCTTGAGCTCATCACAGCCCCAAGCCCAGCTCCCGATGGAGATGGGAAGGAAGGACCCAGACTCCAGAACTGACATAAATCCAGTTTGGGTCCACAGGAGCATAAACTGAGCTCTGCATGACTTCCTTGGCTTCTGTGACATATCTGCAGTTTGTAAGAGTATAACTAAGGGGAAACTTTGGTCCTACGCTAATAAATATTTAGAGACCCTTTAGGATGGGAATGAAAATTCAGAATAATATAAATAATAAAAATTCCTCCAAGGATATTCGGTGACTTGAGCACAAAGAAGTTGGACCTTCAGTATTTGTAAAAATTTGATGTCCATTTAAGATACATCACTTACTGCTCCTTGTTGATCTTCATATAAATACAGACAAGGGGTACACAACATTTCTCATTTATTAACATATAGACCTCTGCATTGCTCTGTGATTTCTAAATTTACTATGCACATTTCAGATGTTCTACATGATTATGAAGGCTGGAATGAACCAGGCCACATCATTTCACTTTCCAATTCTTCATTTTTACCTTAACCAACTCTAAGAATTTGTCATTTACAATCTCTGTTGTTTACCCCTTGCCCTCCAGGAATACCTTGGAACACATGAGAACAGAACAGAAGACTGTGCTAATAAAACATAAGAAAAATCTTTACCTGATTGAAGCCAGATGTACTGAAGAATGTCTACACATTTACTGCAAGCACACACAAATACATCTGCTGGAGCTATCAGTGAAATACAAATTTTACCAGCTACCTGTATCCATTTAGAGTACTTCCAGCCCTCTTGAAATCATATCCAAGCCATAAACCCCAAATATCTCTCACTGCTCAGGATTTCACTCCTAAGTATTAATAATTCTGGTATGTCTAGAGCCAATGGCTATGGAAGAGCTGCATCCTCTTTGGTGCAATCAGACACGGGCTGTTTGCCACGTTATTTCAGCTCCTTCAGTGCCTTGGCCAAATCGGTCACCAAACAGTTTTGCTGGTTCATGAATCAGTCTTTTCCTTTTTCCTTTTCCTCCCCTGAAAGTCTTTATTCCAGTTATCCATCAAAGTTCCTCCTAACCAGTTTGGAGACAGCAGGTATCAAGAGCCATGAATTAAAACCCCCGTGTCCATGCATCACCCTGCTATGTGTGGATACTCACAGTGCTGGTGGTGAATTCAGGGGGGTTGTCATTCACATCTGTCACTGTGATGATGGCTGTGGCCGTGTTTGAGAGACCATAGTTAAGATTTCCTTCCATATCTGTTGCTTGGACAATGACTATGTACTGCTGAACTTTCTGGAAAAAAAAAAAAAAAGAAAAAAAGGGAAAGATGAGAGACAAAAATGCACCCTGTAAAACGACTTCGTTTATTTTCCATACACAAGTGTGATCTTTAAGCAGACTAAGATGTTAATTGGATTAAAAATGTTAGTTAAAAACATCAATGAATTTTTTTGCAACGTTTTTAAAGTGATTTTTGCATAGATTGGTGGACATCATCTGTCTCATGGGAAAACAGAAGTCTTATAGGCAAAATTCCCTGGTTGAAGCTGACATTTTTATTAACTTTTAAGCATTTTCTGCAACATTAGCTTCTGTCTTCTGAAAACCAGTAGAAGTTTTGTTCATGTGTTTTCACTGAAAACATTGCTAAGAACATTATACCCCCAAAATTGACATCAACATTGCCTGGCAGCCCTCCAGCTCGTTCTGCTCACACAGTTTGATGCCCAAAAAGCATTAAAATGCTCTTCGTGCTTCAATCCTTAACACAATCTTGGTAAATAAGGAGAATTTAAGTCCAGTATGGAAGAAAAAAATAATTCAATGCAATAAACAGCAGTTCAGCAGAACTAATTTAAATTCCTGAGTACCCCCTACAAAACAACTCTCAAAGGAAAAAACCTCACAGAGCCAGCCATAAAAATCACACAGTGAAGTTCTAAAGCATGCTGTAAGTCAATGCAACTGGAAAATAAACCTGAATAAAATAGGAGAGGCCATCTGATGTTGCATGTGCACATATCTTCCTGGGATCTCTTTATTTAGGAATATCTGCCTGCACCAAGAGAAGTGATCTCCTGATCTTTACAACTGGCCTCTACAATAAATTTTCATTTAGATCTGCAGAATTTACTCTTGATTACGTGTTGTGCTCACAGAGCACTTCACAGGCAGGTAGGAAAGCAGAGTTCCTCTCCTGGGAAGTGAGCAAAGGGATGCAGGAGAACCAGGCAAGGATCCAGCCCAAAGCTCAACACAATCCTGCTCCTTAGGGCTGCAGGTGGCACATCACAGAGCCCCGAGGGGGGGTAAACCAAGTGGAGGCAGAGTTTTATGCAGGAAAAGTTTTTTTGTGAAGTCAAGTGGAGGGACTTTGTTGCAAGGAAAAGACCAACTGCCCCCAGAGCACAGCTCAGGTACCCAGGGCTGCTCTTTCAGGGTGCCAATGCTACAGGGTGGGTGAAATGTCAAATGTCCTCTCAGGTTTCAAAGGGCAAGAATTAGGTCAATTAGGTCTCTTTATTCCCATATAAACATCCTTGAAGTGCTGTAATTGGCTCAGTTCTTTAATTCTTCTGAGTTGCCAGAATAAGAGATCTGCATTTTAGCTTTATCTTGATTCCAGGGCTTTTAATTGACCTGCTAAATTGACAAGACATCACACTCAGGGATCCATCAGCACCTTGCAACTGGAATATATTATGGAAATGCACTTTCATTATCTCTTCCTATCTTGTATAATAAAACATGAGGGAGAAACTATTGTTAGCCCTTGTTTTGCCTCATGCAAGAAGGTGCCGTTCATTATTCCATTTGTAAAGCACTGCACAAGGCTGAAATGTCCTCATTAGTAAATGCAATTTCTACTTCATATTTAGCTTTTCCTTCCTACTCTCTGCTACAGATGACCTGGGAGGCTGATGGAAGTATTTCCTAACAGGCCAAATATTTTGGTTTAAATAACAGAAGGTTTAAATCATAGAAGTGGGGAGGACACGTAAAAAAGTAGCAGCAATCAGATTTCACATAAATGAGAGAAACACATCTGTGTGTGTGTACTCACAGACCCCAGGTTTACAACAGAGTTGTTTTATTCAACAAAGCACCATTCATTGGGCTCTGTAGTGCTCATAAAAAAAACCCACACAAATTCAGAACACTAAATTTAAGAAGTTTAAAAGAAATATGTCGATCAGATAATATTACAAAAAAAAAGAGAAAGAGAGAGAAGGAAAATGGCCACAATTTTTAATAATGTGCAAATGTCCCAGCCACCTCCCCAGAGTTGCACTGACTTCCAACAACTGAACACAAAACTTTTGTGTTTAGAGCAAAAGTGGATTCTGACATGGAGAACAGTATGTGTACAGAACTCAGATATTTGAAATCACAGAAATATCTAGGTTGGAAAAGACCTTTAAGATCAAGTCCAGCCATAAAGCCAATGCTGCCAAGTCCACCACACTGAAATAGTCTGGGATGTGATCTGCCAAACCTTCAGGCTCATGGCTGCCACCCACACCCACATCCCTCTGAAAGGCTCCAGCACTCTGGGCATACAAGGGTGCTCCTTTCAAGGGCCTAGTTCTCATTTATAACTAATTCAATCTCCAGTGAGATTGGCCCCAGCAGATAACAAATTACTGATTTTTGTTTTTCTCTAGCTAATCTTTTTGCTTTTGTGCATTAAGCTGATTTTATTGAACTATTCAATCAATTTCAATTTCAGCATGTCCTTCCAATTTGTCACATCATCTCCAGGGGCATCTCAGTTTGTTGTCCTAATAGTATTATTATTGTTTCGACTATTAAAAAAAAAAAAGGCAGCCTCATGCCCCCAAGCACAAGAGACATTTTCTCGATGGCATTTTGATCATACAGAATAATTCTCCTATTCTCTTTCTTTTCAAAAATGAAATTTTAACCAGCACAGGGCAGAAACTACAGCATAGAGGTAACCAAAATGGTCCTAACATTTACTACATGTTTGCTCTGATGGTGATGCTGTGGAATTCAGGAAATGAGCCTGTGGCCCAAGGGGGTCTAGACTAAAAACCCAGCCCTGCTGAAGCCTGTGGGAGGTCCCAAGGCAAGTGTTTCTAACAAATCCAGCAGATCTTCATGCTACAGCAAAGCAAATTTGCTGTTTCTACTCCAGCCAAGGAAAAAGCTCATCTTGATAAGTGCAGAGCTTTTAGTCTGACCTAAAAACTATGAAAGGAATTTGAAGGGAAAAATTATGAAGGAAGTAATAATTAAAGGAACTGTGGCAGATCTAATCTGTCTGCTCTTCTGTCAATCATCTGATACAGTGCCCCAAAGAAATACATCAGCTAAATTCCAGAAGAAGTAAATTAGTTGAAGAAATTTGTTAAGCTGGTTAATGGGAAATTAGTCAAGGGCTTGGTTAAAAAGGTGCCTTGTACAGGAGGAATGGCAGCTTGGAAGAAGGGCAACTGGGTAATTGAAAGATGTGATTTAACAGCACAAAATACAGGAAAATGCAGCAAGGCACCAATAAACCAGAACTTGACTGGACACGAGGAAGGAGGGCTGTCCAGCAGCTCCCTGCTGCAGGCAAACACCCTGTGTGCAGCCCTCAGCACATCTGGCAACCCTGGCTCCCTGTGCCAAGCACCCAGGGCTCATTGGGATGCTGAGCACAATCCAAGCCCTTGTGCTCACTGCTGAGCCCCCAGAGCCAGCCAGGTGCTGGCACTGAAGAGCCCATCACCAGAGAAGAGCCTGGAAGAGCCTGCCTTGTTTAGTCTGGCAAAATGAAGGCTGATAGCAGATATGATTGCTGCCTATAAATAACATCAGAGGATAAACACTAGGAAGGCAAAGAAGCAATTTAAACTAAAGGACAATGTTGACACAAGAACAAATGGGTATAAACTGGCCATGAATAAATTTAGGCTGGAAATTAGGAGGTCCTTCACCACTAGAGGAGGGAGATGCTGGAGCAATCTAATACAGGGTCTGGGGAGGAAAACCATTCAAAAGAATATATTAAATTAGGGCTAAATCCTCTTGGTCTAGGTATAAATTATGACAAATTGAGCTAAAGCAGAAGGCAGATCTCTCAGCATTCTCTGTGTACAAACAACTTTCTAAAAAGGAAAAGAAGAAAACCCCTTTCAGTCCAAATAGCACAGACTGTTTGTGTGAAAAGGCTTAACACTGATGGTTACCACTGAACCAGCCCATTCCATTGGCACACACAAAGGACCAGGTGCCCCAAACAAAATTACAGTTATTGCAAGTGGCTCTCCCCATCGAGACAGAGGCTGGCATGGAAAGGACAGGCTCAAATCCCTGGCTGAGCTGAGCACAGTCTTGCTGAGAGGGTATAAACAAGAGTAAATCGTAGTCAGAGACAGAGTACAAAAGAACAAAGTATTTTAAAATGAAGTTCTAATAATGGACTGCTACCTGTGATCCCAATTTCCAAACGTGCATGCACAGTATTTGAGAAATGTGGCTATTGCCAGTTTACACAGGTAATTATTATACATCACACATGAGTTGGGGAACTGTGTATACCAAAGTCCAGAAATGCAGTAATTATGTGATTAAATTAATCTGCATTACGGACAAAGGGTTTGCAAAATTAGGACCTACATTTTCAAAGCTCTGTACAAATATTGTCCAATTAATTACTACTTCCTGAGAAATGTATGACTAGCTAATTTTAGCATCACGTCTGGTAAAGCAAATAAGGTTACCAGGATGTAGGATGTATTAGCAGGAATCTATGGGTGAAGGAGATAGAAAATTTAAATTCTATTTCCTCCTGTGGTTATCCTCACATCTTCTTTATATCTATGTTTTTTCATCTCCCCTTAATTTTGCAACACCAATGAGATGAATGAGATGTTCTTGTGATTTGTTTTCTAAATAATTTTTTTGCATGCTAGTGAAGACTTGATGTTCATGTTTTTGGGTATCAGAGATGGCAAACACACCATTAATAAATACTGCACCAGAACCACGAAAGGCAATTTAAAACCAAATAAACTTCTCCCAAGCATTCACTTGACTCAAGCAGAAGTACTTTTTCCAAAAAGACCTAACTAGCCACCATTTACACAAAGCTCACAGGAAAAGCTTTTAAGGCATCTATCCCTTAATACTCCCTACTTAGCCGTGGTTAAATAAAAACAGATTTCCAGTAGAAAGCTGGAAATCTTCCTCTTCTGGAAGCTCTGGGGAGAAGGCAGCTTTCACAGAACACCCAGAGCAGGCAGCACATCTGCAGCTCCCCCAGCAATGGTGGTGCTGAGTGAGCT